TATTTTTTGTTATTTTTAACTCCAAAAAATTTAAGATTTTTGTGCATATTTTCTGTTTTTGAAAGTTTTTTCATATCTAAAAAATATTTTTAAAAAAAACGTACATATTTATGTAAATTACTTACATTTTACTCCAAAACCTTTAGGTTTTTGTGTATTTTTTAGAGTTTTTTTCATATCTAAAAATATGTATATTTTATTAAAAAACTTGACATGAGATACAGCCATTCAGGTTTTAGTCCTACTGAGCCAAATCGGCCATTAAGATTCTATATATGGTTCTAGTAAAAAAACATTATAAATAACCCAAGTAAACGTGCAATGGAAAACTTAAGTAAAACGTGCTGCGATGAAAAACGTTAATTCATTCTCAGTGAATGAAGCCGTGAATGAAATCATAAATGTCAAAAGTAAGGAACAGCATTATTGTTCTCGTACTTTAAATGGTAATTACTTGGATCATTTCCAGTTATCTATGCACTCTTAACTAAAGTGCCTTAAGTGCCGAGCCCTTGAAGAAGAATTACACGTCATTCTAGTTCACGTTCTAATATGCTTACTGCCTTGAACATATTAAAACGACTGGGGCAGCGTGCTCACCAAAAAAAAAAAAAAAAAAAAAAAAAAAAAAAAAGTTGTTTTTAATTCAAGAATTTCTAGGCGTGTAACTAAATTCATTGGTCCGGGGTTGGATTAAGTTCTCCGAGCTAATGTGTATTTCGAAATTACCAGATCTCATATTCCGTACAATGTTAAAATAAGTATAAATATTTAATCTGAAATCAATTTGAAGCTGAAGACAGAAGGAAAAGAAGTAAATGAAATAGCATTTCATTAGTAAAACCTAAATGCCGCAACTTAGTGAGTTTACCTCTTTTCAGAATATAATTTGATTTCAGTCGCACTGTTTATTTACTACAGAATTTTCAAAATACAGAGTGGTTATAATAAAAGTTACCCTATTTAGACCTACGTAGACCCATTCTGGTATACCTAGTTCGTTGGAATTTGGTATATATGTCATAGGGATCATGGGGAAAAGAAATTTGCGATAAAAATCAATAGTTCAAATTTTCACCAACAGGTGGCACTTTTCATGCAATGTCGAAAGGCTGTTACGTAAATATGAAGCCTTTTGAAAGCCAATGTTGTCAGCAAAGAGGTGTTAATACCTAAAGTCATTCTTCACCATGCCTTTAGAGAAGAATGACCATGCTTTGCTGATAAGTTGTCTTATCGGAACGACACTAATATTTCAACTGCACTACGAGAATACTAACGCTGGAAAGGCTTACGAAAATGGCTTATCTGGAGGCAGGGTTTGAAAAAGATGATTATTAAATTTGAAGAGATTAGGGAGTTTTGTGTGCTGCGAGGAACGGGATGGAAACGGATTTCAAATGAAACTGTGGAGGAAGTCGCTCTTGCCGTCATGGAATTCCAGTTCCCAATATTCTTCGTCAAATGCTCGAGCGTTGTTATTTGGCTTGTCTCTTCCTTGATCGACACTACGAAATGCTCTGCAATCCATTGTAAAGTGCTATCCAGGTTCTGCAAGACCTGCATCCTGCTCACCTGGACAAAAGAACTGAAATTGCTAGTCTTATTTTGGTTAGAACAGCCTCTAACAATGCATGGCTTTGGAAAATTTTGGGTTCGGACAAGTCGCATTTTACCTTAAACGGAGCAGTTAACAAGTTAACTCTCAGAACTGTCGCATATGGGGTACTGCAAGTCTTAATTTTGTGCAAGAACGTCGTTGCATTCTGATGACATTACTGTATGGTGTACTTTTACTGTTGATTTCAATCTTGGTCCTTTTTTCTTTAAGGAGAACTCTCCTCAAAGCCCCAAAGGGTGCCTTACTCCTCAAAGCCATCAAGGGTGCCTTACTGCAAACTTCTTCAGCAGCAAGTCATTACAAGAACGATAGTATTTAGAGGCTTCTGTCTTCGTGTAAGATGGTGCACCACGCCACATTGTCGGACCAGTGAAAGCTCTGCGAAGTGCCCACTTTGGAGAAGATCGGTGATTTCAAGAGACGTTTTCCGATTGCCTGGCTTCCTCCTTCTCCAGGCTTGAAGCTCTGTGATTTCTGGTTGTCGATATTCTTAAAAGATCATCTCTATGGAGGAAGTATACGGACTATGCCTTAAATGAAAGCATGCTGCTGCAACTGATCCAGAATCCCTTCGCGCTACGGTTGAACACGCTTTGAACGTGTGATTGACGCAAATGGAATGCACATTGAACAAATGCTGTGATTAAGTAACGTTTTGTGTTTCCAATTTATGTTTTTTGTTGTTTATCCACCCGATTCTTGTCTGGTGCTCGAAATTTGAACTGTTATTTTGTATTCAGTTTTCTTTTCCCCATGGTTTATGTAACGTTTATTCCAAGCTTCAACGAAATAGGTCTACCAGAACTCTCTCTACGTAGGTGTAAATAGGATACCTTAATTACATCAGAACCGATTATAAAAAGTTCAGTATTCTGAATCAGTTTCAGTATTCAGTATTTATAATGTGCATTTATAAAGTGAATTTAAGTAAGTGTGGAGTTTAAAATGACGTAGTCGCGGAAGGCGGAAACTTTCCGGAAACTCCCAGTTTTCGGTTCGTCCTTACGGGTTTTTATGTTTTAAGGGTGGTAGCTATAGTGTTCTGTCTATCAGTGCTTTTGAGACCGAATATCCTCATGCATTACATTAGAAGCGATTGTTTATCATAATAATATATCACTGCCTGAAATTTAGAAATCTTTTAAGAATTACATTTTCTATACTTTGCTTTAAAAGCAGACTACTTATTTTAAATACACGCATTTTTAATGTTTGTTTTCTTGCTTTCTTACATAACTTATTTGTCATTCAGTTTGAGCATAAATTATTAATGATATTAGGCCTAAAATAGCCTAGAAATTAAGACAATAAATACGTACTTTCCTCTTGATTTTTTCCAGACGGTAGAATAAAACAATTATGCTAATTCACTCCCCATTTGTACTAATGCGGTATTCTAGTGTATAATCTGCACTCTTTCCCCCCCCAAAAAAAAGCAGATGAAAATCAGGGGTGCGATTTATACCTACGAATGATTAGAAATAGATACATAAAAACATTTGGCAATACAACAGCGCCTGCAACACAGCACCGCGAATTTGAGATTAAGTATAAAATCCATTATTTTAGGGAAAGGTTGCATAGCTATAAAACGTCACGGTCTGACATCACGACTTATCATGGCCGCTACCATATGCGAACTTCTGGTTGGTTCTAATTGTAATACTTAACATAAATGATTTTCTACTTCGTACATAGAAAAATCAAAAGGATTGCAAATAACTGTTTCAAATTCAATAAAATCGAGGTACATGAAAATGTGTAAACGGTAATTATACGACACGGTAAAATCTAGAACACCAGCGGAAGTTCACATTCGTATGATGTATGGCGGCCATGATAAGTCGTGACGTCGCGTTCTTAACATTTCCTACTTGAGACACAATAACACGCCGAATAAATACTAATTCAGAATTCCAATCCAAATTTGCCTTCGGCTTTTAGAGAAATTATGTTAGTTCGGTTCGCCAACGCTGGCGCACTGCTTATTTGTCCAGGCTTCTATATTATCTAAACATATTCTATCTGTTATTTGCGGTTTTGCAGCTGAAGATGATGGTCGGTAAAACACGAAACAGTCCGTGAAAATTGTAAATTAACGCTGATTTTTGTTGTTTGACTTCTGAATTAGTATTTCCTACTTGGTTTGGAAACAAAATCTAATTTGTTATTCCAATAAACAGGAAGATATGTCAAACGAAATTTTGGATTATACTTTATTAGGTGGAACTGGCCACGTGCAAAAACTAGTTTATTCTAAATCTATATCAACATAATTAAATATTTGCCACCTTATTTTTTATTGAAAGTAATATTTTATTGGGCAGTTAAATAGCATATCCTTTAATTGTTTTTATTTATAGAAAATTAAGTGTTTATAATTTATGTAAAATAAAAAATTTGAAACTAATATCATAATTTAATATTTTTTATGTCATTCCTAAAGTAACAACAAATCTAAATTAGTTTTGGTCTGCCCGTCCATACTTGCGATATTTAAGTAGCGTAAACAATGCTCATTCAATTGCAACAGTCTGCAACATTGATTACTGCAAAACTGTTACGGGCTTTTAAGTACAGGATCACTTTCGACTGTACATTAAAACTGCTATGGGCTTCAAGCACCCCTTCCATTTGTCCAAGTTTCCCAAAATCTAATCAACTTCCTTCCAAATTTTACCCAAACTCTAATCAACTCTTTATATAAATGCAAAGAGTTTAAAGAAAGACGGAAAGCAGAATTCTTTGGAAGTTTGATGCAGCCGGTGATAGTGTTCCTACTCTTGCCAGTTACTGAGAAAGTCCCATTAGGGCCTGGCCTGTGATGCAACGTAAAGAATATTCTCCATAAGATATAAGTACCAGACGGGAGGGACCAGATTGAAGCGCTTTGCTTCTATATTGAAGACCAGGGATATCTGGAGACTGGTCGGTGTCAATGCTTCTAGTCTCTCAAAATTCACGCATTTGCAAAGATACAATATCAAACTGAATAGTAAAAGCACTACGGAATCCTGCTTTCTTATTGGTCATCCTGATTATTCAGTGTAATGCGCAGCAAATGAGCGGCGTAGGCAAATGAGGGCCTAAAAAAAAATCTGTCTTCCTCGAGAACGTCGTACACCAGGATTTCTGCGAAATATCTTGGATTATTTCTTAACGTTCGCTCATAAATTCTTCCATTAATTCGTGCAGTGAAATCTTTGATTGATTCTATTTTTTGATCCGAGTGCAGGCTTCTGTTCCTTACATAATAGGGGGCATCTGTGATAATTCTAAGAGCCTTATTTTGCAATACCTTAAGTTTTTTGTAGTCTTTCTCGCTGGCAGTAGTTCAGGCGAGACATGCATACGTAATAATAGGCCTAATAGATGTGATGTTTGGTGAGGAAGTGGCTAGCGCATCGCGCAGCTGCACCACAGATCCGAGGTTCGATCCCCGGGCTGGGGACGGTTGATTTTAATTTTTCATCCCTTAAGTGGGTCGATAAAATGAGTATCAAATTCGCTTGGGGACTAAAAACTAGGGCTCCTGCTACAAGCTGACCACTTGTCCAGGGCATATGCTGATGCACTCCGGGGTCCAAAAATCAAGAAAGCAGAAAAAGGGCAATGCAGACCGTGGCCCACTAGGGCTGCTGCGCCACTGAGTTTAGTTTAGTAGATGTGATGTAGATTCTTCTCTTCAAAGTGATAGAAAGCTGATCATTTTTAAGTAGCGGCAAAAGTTTGAACATTATTCCGTATGCTTGTCCACACATTTTGGCAATGTGAGTAGAGCAGATGAATGACCTGTTAAAGGTAACCCTCAGATAACTCGCGCTGTCCACTCTGAAAACCAGAGTACCGAACACCCTTTACATCTTTCGCAATAGCTGCCGTTTTGCGGTATTTCCTAACTAGTTATTGAAGACTCTAATTCTATACTGACAACGCACTATCGAATTTTTGAACCGAAAGCTTTGCCTCCCTTAATTAGTTGGATAAAAGCAGAAATGGTTTTAAAAGGAAAATCGTTCGTTCTGAAATGATAGATATATGAAAAAATATGCCTGGTTATTCATAATCATATTGAATTCCATTTCTTATTGGATATACATTATCACCACATTGTTATATTATCTTTTCTTGAGCGTAATAATTCACCTCCTTTTCTGATTGCAAGTTCCTCCAAGTTACTTTGTACAAATAAGTTTGAAAACAGTAAAATGTAAAAAAGTAAAACAGCAAAGAATATTTACACAAATTTTCACCAAGATGCCATTGAAATACATTAAATTGTTGAAATTCAAATCAATTTCAGATTAAGCAATTAAATGCGCAACTGATGCTTTTTGACTTACTGAAAAAATGTACTTACCGGATCTTTACTTTTCCTTATATAACGGCATAGGAAGAATATCGCAAATAATAGAAGTAGGAGAAAGAAAATGGAACCTAAGATTATACCAGAAACTAATGCCATATTTACATCATTTTTGACGGGCAATTTTATATATCTAGTTTTATTGTAGAAATCCGAAAGCATGGCATCCAAGCCTTTGTAAAAATTGCCGTTTGTAAAGTGAAACTTGTTTTCCAAGAAAACACTGTGAGCCTCTTCATTCGACACATAATTTGCTGTTGCTTTTCCGACATCTGTGTACGACTGAAAAGTAAAGAAAAATATGTTGATGTTTTGCTTTAAGTGTGGTAACGATTGAATGGTTTTAAAAATATTAATCAATCAATCAAACAACATTTAAATTAAGGATAACTAGATTAGAAAACGTTTCTCTTATTTAAATTTTCTGCGAGCGTTTTTCTCATTACAAATAATTTTCTTTGTAAAACTACTTAGAATTTACTGTAAAGACTTTTCTCTATATTAACCCCAAATTCGAGTAATATATTGTACACTGCGGAAAAAAAGTGGGGGAGGGGAACAGGTCTATATCTCCCGTTCTACAGTGCCGATTGACAAAATTCAAATTGCGTTTTTCATGCTCGAAAGCGTGACTTACGATACATATTAGATTTATATATAACGTTGTTCTAATATAGGTATTTTGGCAGAAAATCGGACCTTTTTCTGAAATGGCATAGCACATTTTTTCCATATTTCGATTCTACGACTCAAATTATGCCTAAATATTAAATTTTGTAAAATCTGTTGCGAAATTTACGTGGAAATTCAAAAATTTAACTTGTCCCAATTTTTTTTTAGTTTGCGCCAAGAATATTTCACGTGGCAAACTTCTTAATTTATAGCGACCTATTTTCCGTTCCTTTCTTTTCATTGTAGACTAGCGGAAAAAAGTCATCGTTCATTCTTTCAAATAATTTTAACAAAGTGTGTAAACCACATTTCTGTTATTATCCCTTAAAACAAATATGCCAAATTTCAAAACGCACCAATATGTAAATTCACGTATATCCTAGGAAATTCTGAATAAAAAACTCTAATTTGTTGCAGGTGTGCTTAGAAATACATCTACTTTAAGATGATGGTCAAAATTCCATAGATTGTAATTCAAAATTTTTTTCTAAAAATGTATAAAAAGTATTTAAAAATATAAATTTTAAAAATAAATCATAAAAAATGAGCGAATTTATTTGGAATGAACCTAAATTTCGAAATGTGAAAGAAGGAATAAAATAAGTTAAATAAAAAAGAAATATTAACAAATATATACCAAATTCAATTGCCATTGAGGAGCTAAAATTTTGAGACCTAATTTTTAAAGAATGACTCGTGCGATTTTTACGAAACTTGGCAGTTTGGCATAATTTGAGTTGTAGAATCAAAATATGGAAAAAAAAAATGGCATGTCATTTAAAAAAAAAGTCCGATTTTCTGTCAAAATACCTACGTTAAAACAATGGCAATATATAAATCTAATACATATAATAAATCGCGCTTTCGAGACATGTAAAACGCAAGTTGAATTTCGTCAATCGGCCCAGTAGAATGGGAGATATAGAACCCCCCTTTTTTTCACAATGTACATATTACTCGGGAACACAATGTGAGTGTTTATTAAATCTTTGTCTGATATTCGTTGCCTTGGGAGGAGGGGCAGAGGAAGTTAAATTAAAAACTGACCGAACCAGCTTTTATACATTTTGGGCCCACTCGCTTAACAGTATGAAAGAGAAAGATAGATATCGATGGTTGAACTCGATCTCTACCGCTAAGTTGTTATCGGAGTTGAAAATTTTTTATGCAAGGGAGAATCCTAAACTATCTGTCCAGGACGACGTTTGGTAATGTTTCTGTTGGAGTAGTGATACTAAGTTATTTTGCCGAGACTCGATTATCTGCGCCCTGTGGAGTGTTACTACACATATCTGTAACAATGTGAGATGACACCTGCTTCCCCATTTGGTAATATGCTGGTGTCTCGCATACTTATTCTTGTTTCTTCCTATCCTTGCTTAATTGATGAACCTAAGAACGCATCCAAAATATGGTATAGTCAGACTGTGAAGGCATAAGGTAACTTAATTATCACATGATACAAGTTTTAATCGTCGTAAGTAGAGTTCACACTAAAAATTCTTCGGGGGTAAAGGTCTAAACCTGTGGTACGCAACCTGACGTACGCGTATCCTCAAAAAGGAAGTAGCCCAAAAGCGGGGTACACCAAAGGGTCCAAAAGGACATATCTTTTAGGGAACGTCTTTTAAGGTACAGGGTACGCGATGGCTTAATCAGGCATACGCTAGAAAGTGACAGTTAAGTTTAAAAATATTTTTACACCTTATTTTATCCTTCACTACAGGTAATGCTGTCCTCGCGCCAGATGTTTTTTATTAGACAGTTCCTTGATAGATTTATCTGATTACGGCAAAGCTCGAGGGCTATCTGCCTAAGTGAAGAAATGCCTTCGTGGAGGACTTTCTAAAGGAATTACGTTATACATGGAAAAGCTAAATACGTTATACATGGCACAAACCACGAAAACGTCCATGCAGCCAGCCCGTTCGCGGGATTCGAACCTCGGACCGAAATACCACTGCTCAGCGACTTTATCACTCGGTCACTGATGGACCCGAACAGTTCCTAGAATTCCTGTCTAGGGGTAAGTTCTACTTTCTCCGCTGGCGCGCTGTGTCGGTTAAATGTTTATCCAACTGGAGACTAGAGAAAGCCGCCACAAATTTTCTGAACTGCGTTGTAAGAAAATTTCAGCGTTTTTCTAACCGCTTTGAAGCAAAAACGCGTTGTAGGAGGCCTAGCTGTACACATAAGCAACGTTCGATTCTGCGTGAAAATAAGAACTACCAGCAGTGAAATTGAGTAACTGCAGTCCTTCTTCGCCTGCATGAAAATTAAATCAAAAATAACAAAAAACAGTGTTAATATTCCTGTGTATAATAATGAAAATAGGAAATCAAAATGTTAACAACAACCACGGTTGTCCCTTTAAACGAGCGTTGATTGATATATTGTCCAATATAAGTTATTGTAACTCAAGTATCATAATAAATTACTAATAGTAATTCAAGAAATAATGCGAATTTTAGCGTTCAGAAACATTTATATATTCATAAAATGTAAAATTCCGAAAATCGATTTTTTGAATCCCCTTTTAAGAACAGCATCCAGGAAATACATACATAAGAACGGTACTGATGTGCTTCATGACTAGAAAAGACCAAAATTCGCTTAAAGAAGAACAGTCGAGGGAAAGAGACTCAGAGCTGAATGGCATGTCTAGAAACAACCTATCATCTATCATCTAGAGTTTAATTAATGCCACTAGGAAAGTGGCATTAATTAAACTCTAGATGATAAAATACAAGAATGAATGAATGATACCAAAAATACGTTCTGGAAGGTAGAGTTAGTTCCGCTCAATACTTTAATGGCCCAGTTATTGCATGAGTAATAATAATTTTTTATTTCAAGTATTTTATATTTTTGCATGTGTTTGATTAATGCATAAAATTAACTTTTAACGTTTTGTTAATATTTATATTTTTTATGCTGAATGGCAACAAGTAATTATTCATAATTATATTTATATTTCTTTTATGCTGAATGGTAACAAGTAATTATTCATATTGTTGCGTTTTTCTTTTCTGACATCAGTTGTTGCGCAGTATTGTCAGGTAGCTCCAAAACACGTTTTTACAGTCGTCGATGAACTACTATAAACACGCTGACACGATCAGCGACACAGCCTCCAGGTTATCAGACTATCACGGTGGGGACAGCTTCACGGCAAAGCACCAGAGTACAGCTCCCGACTCTGCTTGGTCGTTCTCGGAACTCTACGTACTCTCGAGACTCTCCACGCTACAACTCGCCACGCACTCGACGACACACAGAGCAAAGCTCCTGACTCTTCGGTTCAGTCGTTCCCGGAGCTTAACACACTCTCTCGACGATGCACTAACCGCGATATACTAAGAGACTCTTCGATGCACTCGACGACCCACTCGGCACACGCTGGCCGGCTGTCAACTCGATCGTCTCCGCACGAACACACTCTCAATGACTGACTACCAGCTCGGTAGACGAGGCACACAGTCTATCAGCTCGTTAGGCGAGACACTTTCGATACTAACTATCTCGCACTCCAGACGAGGCACTCTCACTCGCCCTCTCGACGAGGCACTCACTAACTGTCTGCGGACCAGCAGGGTTTATATAGCTTTCGGCTTGGCACACACTCTATCAGCTCGCTAAGCGAGACACTTTCGATACTAACTATATCGCACTCCAGACGAGGCACTTTCACTCGCCCTCTCGACGAGGCACTCACTAACTGTATGTGGACCAGCAGGGTTTATATAGTTTTCGGCTTGCGTTCGAGAACATTCTGGGCTAAACTGGTAAGAATTCGTTCCAGAAGATTCTCCATCCGTCCATGGCATATCGCCAATTTTGTCGCCAAACGGGCGATTTCTCACCAAATGTGGCAACCCTGCCTTCCTTGCTATTTTATGGCAACCCTAAAACTGCTTTGCGGAGAAGCCATCTTACAGCGCTTGGACATTTCGTAACAATATTTATATTCATATTTCTTTTGCGCTGAATGGCAACGAGTAGTGATTCATGATTACTTTGTTTTTCGAATGTTGTTATTCTAGTCAGAGCTCATTTTAATAGCTGAAAAATAAAAGCAATAAACTTAGTTATTTGTTCATAATTTTTGCTGTTCCTAATCATAATTTAGTTTGAACATCAATAGCTAAGGCTACAATACTACATACCTAAATGATTTTAGCCTTTAGTGAATAATTACCAATATTAAGTGAATTAAGACAGATTATTGATAATTCAAAAGTCATACAAAAGTATTATCGTTTACTTTAATATCATACCAATCTGTCTATTACAGCAATCACAATGAGAATATCATTGTCACATTTTCCAAGCTTCCACTTAGACCGCAACTGCTCCGCAAACGTACGAATTATCTTTCCCGGATGTTCGCTGTAAAAATACGTATAATTAATTACGTTATTTTTATAGCTCAATATAATTAATAAATTAAATAAGGAAATTAAATCTAAAAAAATCATAATAAGATAATACAATACATTGTAAATTAATTCCGATTTTAAATAACGCCCAAAGCGGCTTTTTTTAACGTTTTGTGTCACCTTTATTTATTAAATATTATGTTCTTCGCACTCAAACCATAAAATTCAATTCGACAGTAATATCACAAAATATTTAAAAACGGCATGTCATTAGAATTTCCGATACACAGTCTCGCGCGCTGGAGATAAAAATGTTTTTTTCCGTACAGTGTTGCCATTGCTCGCTTGGCCTTCAAATATTTATGCAGCTTTTTTTTTTCTCGTATAGAGTTTTGAAATTTATTTAATTATTTTCAAAATTTTGCTGTACATTGCGCAAACTTACGCCAGGTTGAATTTTTCGTTTTCTTCTTGTTTTTTAAAACTCCTTTCTAATATTGTCATCAATATCTATCTATCTCTCTCTATATATATATGATAGTTGTTTTACATTTATTAATGCTTTTTAAATTTTTATGTTCCTAATTTTAACATTTTCGGACTTTTCTGCTTAAAGATTATTAATGCAGCCTTGTTTCCAACATTTTTGGTTCTTTGTAAGGTATTTCTCCCACCTTCTGGGCGCGCCTTCGTGGTGTGGTGGTCTGCACACTGGGCCGGTATTCCAGAGGTCCGCGATTCGATTCCCGGCGAAGGCGTTGTTAATTTTTCATCTTTCCTGCTTCCAGTAATAACCTAATGTCTCTACACCTTAAGTAATCAGCAGTGTTAGTTTTCTGTATAAATAACTTGTATTATAAATTCAGAGCAAAATACAACTTGATTTTGTTTTTGCTTCTGAGATCAACTTATCTAATGCCCTCTGAAGATTAGTGGACACACCAGTGGTCAAATGGTTCAAGATCACTAAACACTGATAATTACAGTTTGATCCGCCTTCGAACCTAGGATAACAAGATGTTTGCATTATATTTGGACGATTCAAAGAACCGATTATTGAGAATTTAAAGAATCGACCACTTTATTGAGCGAATGAATAGTGATTCTACAAAATGGAGTGGCAGCGCTTTTACAGTTCACGGAAAGCTCTTTCGAAGCGTGTCAGTAATAAAGATGTGTTTTTCGTTTTATGAACTGATTGAAACCAAACTTAAATGAGCAAGCGAACGGCTGATTCACGAAAAAAGAGCTCCGCTCTTTTATAGTTCATCACCGACAGCTTTTGTAGGAAGGGTTTTGAAATTATTGTACTTTATTCTTGTTCTTATTTTTAACATTCAACATTTGATAAATAATCTTATGCTTACCTTTCTTGATGATTTTACAAGACGCTTCGAATTCTTTTCCATTTTGTGTTTTACACAGAACTTTATTTTACAACTATTTACAACAAAAATGTTTACATTAGAACGTACGCTTATTTTTTCTTTTGTTGCCACAATATATATTTATACCGAGCATAAAAATAAAAAGGCCACGCCCTCTCGTGGCCATTAGCATAAACTGTAACAAAGGGTGTGCCAGGAAATTTCGATTCCCATCTTAGAAGAGAAGAGAATGATTATTCTCCCGTATTAAAAGTGACTTTCATTTTTATCACTTGCTTTTTTTTTTTTTTTTTTTTTTTTTAAATTGTAGAACTTTATGGTTAGTTCTGAGTAGAAACGAAGTTTTAGGGGATCTCGAAACAACAGATCAAAGAGATTAGTTCAAGATGTTAGCGTTTGATTGAACTGATTCTTCTGATACCTCTGCTTCTCAGATTCTTTTTGTTCTTGGTTCGCTAAACGACCCCGATCTCGCTGCTTGTTCGATTCTTTCCGCTCTTCGCTCCATCTTCGCTAATCGCTCTTGATTCATTCCTCGTTCCCGAACTGTTTTCTTGTTGTTAACGAGCGGTAAGTTATAAAAACGAACCAATTTATTTCGGTGAGTAAACGGTTCTGGTCCGATTCCATAAAAAGAAAGATTGTGTCCAATCATAGGTTGCATTGGCATTTTCGTTGTTTCCCCATGTGGATCGCAAATAGGAATCATTTTGCATTAGAAGATCTTCATCCATGTAGTCATGCATTTCCCTCAGGCAGATAATCCTAGTGCGCTTTGCTGTTATCGAATAATGCAATCTATCCGCGCCTTAGGCAACTGGCTAGCTACCAATGTTGCCTAAGCTTATAAGGTATTTCTCCCACTTCCCTAGCGTGCCTTCGTGGTGTAACGGTAGCACGCTGGGCCGGTATTCCAGAGGTCCGTGGTTCGATTCCCACGAAGGCGGTTGCATATTTTTCATCTTTTCTGTTTCCAATTAACCTAATGACTCTACAAGCTGTCTTAATGGATATATGTGAAACTGAACGTAAATAATTTGTGTATTAATAGAGAGATATTGTAGCATATCAACGATTAGACGCACGTTACTACATTCGCCATTATTCTTTAAGACTAATCTGATAACATCCTTTTTGTTCATCTACTTGATTCATATTACTTCAGTAAGCGTAAATTTATTCAGTTGATAAATGTGTGATTTAAATCTTATGAGGACTCCTTTAAAATGGCATAATCAAAACGGCTTAGAAAATGATTTCCTGCACGCTGTATAGAAGAATTGATTAAATGGAACCATATCGTAAATAATCTAGGAATGACAACACTGACTTACTTATAGGGCTGAAACAGGTGTTTCAACAAGGCGATTCCTACCACGATGCCCCCATCATTAGCATCACATACATCGCAAATGCACGCTGTATCCTTATACAGTGTTTGGACTGCCACTTCTAATTTATCAACTGAAAGAAAATGAGGTTACACATAAATATTTTTGAATAGTTCGATTTAGAAAGTAAAGAAAAAAAAATATATCTAAAAGGTTTCAGATTTTAAATTACGACTAAAAGGATGTTTTTCTTTTTTTTAACATTTTGTTAGTTCAAAGGAGCTTTGTTCCTGAAGGACTATTGTTTTCGTTTTGCGATTTTACGTTGAAAACTTTAAAAGGCTGTATCACTTTTCAAATCGTTGCCACCAATTACTATCGCCCTGTATTATATTTGAAAAAATTAAATAATGAATAATCTGCATAAATGCATGAATGTTTATCGCATTGTTATAAAACAGCGATAACTAGAGCCATCCAATTTTGAATGACGTGATCCTACTGCGAACACGGGCATCTGAAAGTCCAAATTGGAAATTTGGAATTTGTTTTATTATCGATTTCATATTTTGTAAAACTTTAACGAATTTTTGACTAACGAACTCAACAAACTCAAGGATTTCAAAGCGAGAAATGGTAACGGTGTGCACACACACACACACACACACACACACACACACACACAAAAAAAAAAAAAAAAAAAAAAAAAAAAAATTATCTGCAGCGCGTGAGACTGTGTACCGGAAATTCTAAAGAATATGCTCAAATTAAAATTATTTTGCGATACTGCTCTTGAACTGAATTTTATGGGTTAGGTGCGAAGAATATGATATTCAATAAATAAAAATAACACACAAAATGTTAAAAAAACGCCCCTTTGGATGTAATTTAAAAATATGAAACCTTTCAGATTTTCTTTTGTGTTACCTTTATTAAATATCATGTTCTTCGCACTTGAGCCATAAAATTCAGTTCAACAGCAATATCGCAAAATAATTTTAAATTGAGCCTATCTTCATAATTTGAGATACACAGTCTCACGCGCTGGAGATAAAATGTTTTTTCTGTACAAAGCTGCCAAATTCTTGAGTTTGTTAATCAAAAATTCTTTAAAGTTTTACAAAATATGAAATCGATAATAAAACTAATTTCAAATTTGGGCTTCCAGATGCTCATATTCGCAGTAGGATTACGTCATACAAAATTAGATGGCTCTAGGCACCGTTGTTATATCACAATGCGTGAAATATACATACATTTATTGCAGATTCTTCATTATTCAATTTCTTCAGATATAATACAAGACGATAATATTGGGTGTCAACGGTTTGAAAAGTGAAATGAGCCAGATGTGGTGCTTTTTAGTTTTCGGAATAAATAATAATTCTTGTCGGAGCGCACCGAAGCCCTATATAAGAAGTCTCCGGCACGTCTTTAATATAACTGGACAACAAATTCAGCATATAAATAATAAAATTATATTAAAATCGATTGTTACTTCTGAATGCATGCTTTCCTCTTCTTGGGAAACAATCCCTCGGATGGAGGTCGATACTTTTAAGCAAAGAAATGCCCCCATCCAGATGTCAAAAACTTCCAGAAATATCCAGAAATTACCATGAATTTATGACAGCGGGTAAATTTTTCGTTCCAACACTAGTGTCATCCCGCGGAAAAGAGCGCATGCAGACATTTTGGGATGACGTAGCTAAAGACGGTGGATGAAAATTGTTACTTGTTACCTTTTTATAATTTTTTTCAGCTGATCTTTGGATTTCGTGAAAATTTGTTCCCCTGTCATATTCTGCTTGACAGCTAGAATTATACTGAGAGGAGATCGTGGTCAGAAAATGTTGAACTCCTTTCTTTTTGTTTTTATACCTACAGGTCATCCACTAAAATTTTCTCCTTACTGTTTATATATAACATTCTCTCTATTTTCATTAGTGATGCTTTAACCATTTCAACGCTTTTCATTGGTTTCCTGGAAAAAGTATGGTCTATAAGGCTCCAACCTTAAAGTTACAGCTATGTGTGTGCAACCTTGAGAAATGGAAGCGAATAATCGATTTAGCTCAGGAAACAGAAAAGTAAACTCAAGAAGGATTAATTACCCTTTATTGCTGAAAATAAAGATTAACAGATGGCCCTTTCTCAGGACGTACAGAAAAGCCTGCACTTGGGCTTGAACTCAAGAGTACTAAGAAAATCAAACTTAACTAATGCTTAGTTAAAAAGGTATAGCCGAAGCTATCAAAATTCTACAGCAGTGGGCCTCTAAATTTTAACTAAACGGCGAAGCTGTCAAGGGCCTGAAATACGGCCGCACGTAGTAATAGCTTACAGAGGGTCTAGCCAAAAGATGAACGCGCAGAATCTCTGACCCTCTAAGGCCTATATCACACATGCATTTGTTTCATACATTTGCATTTGTTTCTGGCCGGTTTACTATTGAGAGAAAGACGCGCGGTTTTTTTCTTCCTTTCGAAATAAATTGCAAGTTGTTTGTTTTCAACCAATCAGCTATCAGTTTCGAATGCTATTAGCTTATTTGTACTGGAGTACCAATTTCCCCTTTACATGTTAACCCCAAAGTGATCTCTGGTGAGAAAGCAGAAAAATTGTTCCAAACAGTTGTTCTTCCGGAACAAACGTATGTGTGATAGCACCCTAACGAAGTCAGTATGGAACTTCGATTTAAGTACTGCTCTTCCTTCATTTGCATTTAACCCTTTGCGGCACAGTGTGCCCGGTTTGGACACACCTAAAAATTCCTTTCTGTACGCACAGAAAAATTGAACGAAAAAGGATTTATAGGTAACTCTGAACCTTCTTTATTTATAGTAGATGGCAGCTCAACACAAACCAGTCCATATATTATTTTAGCCATGCTTAGTTTTTAAGACCCTCATTTTTCAAAGAAATCTTCCAGATTTTTTTAGAGTATAAAAGGAATTGTTTGAAAAGAAATTTCTATCTTATTTTTTTGGCTGTATGCTAATTTCCTTATTCTATTTGGCTGTATGCTAATTCCTTATTCTATATCTAGGACAACCGAGAGTCTGTATTCTTTGTTTCTCCGCATCTCATCGGTCAGTTCATTGAAAACAATGCTCGATTCAGCACTCTTTTCGAAGCTCTATTCAATCAGTGTGCCCACTTTGGGCACACCCACAGAATTAAAACGATAAGTGCTATCTTCACAAAATTTTACTTGTGTACTCCTCTAGGTCTAATTAGAGTGCCTACCTTTTTTTTTTTTTTTTTTCTTTTCTTTTCTTTTTTTTTTTTTTTTTCTCTAATCAAAACTCCAATTAGAAGGGATAGGAAAGTAGCTTTAACTAAAGATAACTGTTAAAAACTTAAGATAAATCTTACAGATCTTTATTTCTACATCCCTTGCAGTAGTGTATTATATTCGGAGCTCAAAGTAAGCCGGAGGCCGGTTGAGCTATTTTTAGTTTTTGCGTGAAATTTTAATTCCTGCCGAAACCCCAAAAAAGTCAAGGTCCAGTACCTTATTTTAATATTTAATTATTTACCATTTATTTGATAACGTATTAAATTTTAATATTAATTGTTTAATTATTAATTATTTTACTAGCCATTTTATTTATTTATTTACGTTTGTTCTTTTCTGACAGTCTTCAATAGGGCTCCTGCACTTCTAATTTTAGAAATGAAGCCCTGACACGAACCAATGACGTTGATCCGCCTGGAATAACTGCCATGTTTGTATTGCACTCTTTCAACAGTTTCTTCGTATCATACGTTAGATGGAATCTGAACAATGCTTCAAACTAAAAGACTTTCTGGATTCTTGAAGGCAACTTTAACAGCATCGCACTTGCATCTTTCAAGTTTCTTCATAAAGAAAAGGTTGCGCGTTATACGCCGGAATGTACGGCAATTTAATCACTAATGCCATTAAATTTGTACGCCAATCATTTCCCATTGCGTTTTATATCTGCGATATGTATTTTTGAATCGAACTGCAAATATTCGGTATTTCAGTTGAGTACTTCTTTCGGGAACCGTAAAGAAGGTTGTCAAGAAAGATAAACAAAATAAAATTGATACAGTAAATAAATACTGAATAATAAAATTAAATAAAATGTAAAGAAATTAATTACATATATTAAAACAGAAAATTAAAATATCGTTTGTTTTATTTAGGGTTTCGATCAAAATTCTCAATTTATTTATAGAATAAAACTACCTCTGTCTAACTCCGTTGGGCAGCTCTTGAATTTAAGGCCTGGAGTTATACGTTTTTATTGTGGCAACAATTTCGATAGCTGGTGGCAAGGCATTGTGGGATGTTCGGCGTTGTGTATGGTACTAAACGCATATAACATTTATGTGTAGAGTTTACTTCTAAGTGATCAACAAGAGAGTAAAAAGATTGTTTTCCAAATGAGCATAAGTACACAGTGCGTCAGAAGCACGTCGAAATAATATGTAAGCGTGGTCTGACAATCAATATTCTATCAGACATTATATTCTATCATCTAAGACACATGTCAGTATTGCTTTCAGCCATTTGAATGTTGCTAATCCTTCGTACGACTTTAATCAGTCCAGAAATGAATTTAAAATTCCCAAAACGAAACATTTTCGCAGTTATTTTTCTGAGTGGCAACAGTCTCCCGCGCTGGAGATTTAAAAAAAAGTGCTTTAATTCGGACTGTTGCCACTGCTCGCTTTCAAATCTTAGAGTTTGTTGATAAAAAATTTGTTAAGTTTTACAAAATATGGAATAAAAATAGCATTGCCAAACATTAAATATATTATTATTACGGGTACTTAAGATTTCTAACGTAATTCTAACGTTGAAGAAAGCACGCGATTGTATGTGACGTCATTGTATGTAGAAAATGTTTCGTTAATGCTAGCATTTTAAATAAGTAGCTGCTGTTTGGCAACCTTCTTGTTTCAGATTAGGATTATTCACATGATATGTTATTGCCACGTTAATTCTTTTATTGATATTAAGAAAAAGTTGTTATGTTAAATTAAATTTAAATCATGACGTCATACGTATGCGTATTAACCTGAAGTGTAAAAAGTTTTTGTTTCTTGGATTGGCAACATAAAAATTATTTAGGAATTAGTTGTTGCTTGGAAAGAAGCCGAAAGGATGACCTGATTTCATTCATACTGAAATGCTTTTATGTACTTTCTTTTCAGGTGTACACAGAACTCATAAGTTCTGCTTTGGCCCATGGAGGTAAGAATAAAAGGAGGCGCCAAACCCGCAGTACAACTGAAGCAGTGCTTCCAAGGTTTGGTCTTCAGAGGGTGTGTTTTTCGTTTACATCCACAGCATCCTTGACAGCGCTTTGATAAAATTTCTGCACACGACAGTTCCACACTAATTGAAAAGCGGGGACACTTCCGTATAAAAGAAATATTCACTGTTGGATGGAGAATACAAATTTGTATAGTTTAGTGGAGGTTTATGCAAAAGTCACATCTTGGTTGTTTCTCGGTAATTTGCAACAGCGATTGTGATTATGAATTTGTTTTATAAGATTCCAAGCTACTGGACTGCAAATAAATAAATAAAATAAAATAAAATTTAGCAAAAAATGGTGCAGCGTCTTATTCGTCTAGGAAGCATAAAATGTAAACCCTACTGAAGACAAGATAGCGAATTCTCGCTATGTCTTGAAAACAGATAACTACCGGCGGAGGTTACAACTGTACTGAACAGAATATGCACAAGCTCGGTACTCACAAACTAACCACCACTTATGGCGAAGTAACTTAAACACAAAATAGTATGTACAATCAGAATGAATCAAATTTCAACTACACTATTGGATCCTACATCAATAAATATCAGAATTATCGGCTGCACATAGCAAAGCCGACTATAAAATATCAAATAATCTAAAAGTAAAATGGCTAGCACAAATATTCAACTACAGAGCTACTTGCAAACACGTGCCATTAACTCGTTGTTGTTGTTATTTATGCTCACTTGTCTCACGTAGTCAGCCCAAGCTCAGGAAATTCCTCGTGGCAAGGAGCGCAAGATTACGCCTGTCGTTGGCAACAGCCTTGAGCACCATTCACGTGACAGTGCGATTTAGCTCAGTTCCGCCCTCACTTTTGATGGACAGCAACCCGGGGAGGACGGGTCCAAGGTCTCCCCCTCTTCCCTTTCACCAAACCACACGAGAACCCTTTTGGCTCGCCGCATATTTAGAGTGCCGCCATGCCGCACCGACATTGTGCATTTACAAAACATCCATGCCTTCTCCGGGATTCGAACCCGACCCTTCGGCACGGCAGTCAGCGATGCTAACCACTATACCGGTTAGGCTGCGCATTAACTCCTTCTTGGCGTAAACCCGAACTCCTCGTATTTAACTCTTCTCCTACAAACTCTTCAATTCTACTACTTTATTACTATTTTCGAACTCACTGAAATTTTGCATATACATCATTTAAATCTGCACTCCAACAGGAAATTGAAATCAGAAGGGAAAGGAAAGTTTCTTAAAATAAAAATAATTGATTAGCACGAAATAAGATCTTTACAATGTTATGCGTAAAGAATTAAAAATTAACTTTTAAGGTAACTTTAAAATGGCAAAATATCGGCAAAATACAACACACTTTCAAAATCAGTTTCCTTTCCACAGTTTTCCAGTGGTATAAGCGTAAAAATTCTTTCGCTAACCTTGATAGAGTGTTCGCTACTTTTATTTTATGTCTCGAAACATTAAAATGTTTTAAATAAAGTACATTTTTTCATCCACATAATACTGTCACATGCATTTCTTTAAATTTTAGGGAAGACGCTTAATAGTTGCCCATTTTGAACTCAACATTTTATTTTTATATAATTGAAAAATTATCACTTTGGTTTACATATCGTAACTGAAAAATGAAATTACCGCAAAATCCTGTCATCCTCGTCAAAATTAATAAATATATAGACAGGTATGCCAGCAAGTTAACTTTTCCTTCATTTGTAACCACACATTTGTGTAAAATTGTATACAGAAACATCTGCCAATTCGGCCGAAGTACCATATCAGTTCAAGTTGATGTGACCATGTTAACGTACCACATCATCAAAACAGCATGAATGCGTGTAATTTTCATTCAATTTATATTTATCCATATTACTTATGTAAAAAATTCTGATATATGCTAAATTACTGTAAATTACTTTACTCGAAAAATATAATGAATGCACAGTAATTAAAGATTTGCGCACGCCGAAAATGAAAAATATTTAATATACAAGAGCATTTACGCATACCCTTGTTACCTGCCTTTTATAAATTTGCAAAAACTTTATAAATAATTTAACAAAATACGTAAATATTTATTAAATTATTTATAAAAGTTTTTGGAAATGAAAGATTCATTCATTCATAAACTCCTGTGAATGTTACTGTGAAAAAATCTATTTGTTAAACATATCTAAACTTATAATGATTATAAATATTATCTAAATATATAACAGCCTTAACATTTAATTGTAAGCATAAATTGAAATTCTGTTGACAAACATGTTTATAAAACTATTTCAGCAAGAAATATTCGTACTGGAAAGCAATCCGTTAAAAGGTGTTAGCAAAGTCTATGAGATGCGCAGTTAAGGAAAGAAGAATTTTTAGAACGTATATTCTTGAAATTAAAGGTAAAAAGAATTTGATAAGTATTGAAAGAATTATTTCCTTATATTTTATAATAACTCAATTACAAATTTTAAATAATATTTAAGAAAAAAAAACTTTCTTCATTTCCTTTCAGAAATATTCTAGAAATTTAAGTGCATGGAAATCAGCAGCAGTATTTAACGTATTTTACTATTAAAATAAAAGGTGCTGTAGTTTGAAATGAACCGAACAGAGCATTAGTTATAAAGTGACTATTATATTTGATTTAAAGGATGTCTCAAAAGTTCAAAAATCATCTCATATTTCAGAAAGTATTTCAGGAAGAAGCTCAGTAAGTAGTAAAAATATAATGCATAATTTTAATATTAATAATACAATAAACTTTAATCTAAATTTTCTTAACCTGTAACCGAATAAAATCGAAGTACTTTAAACTTTCTTTCTAATGTAGTTAACGTAAACTTCTGAAAATATATCATTCAAAATAAACTGTTCTGAGAAAAGTATAGTATTTAATTCTGTTGAGAATGAAGTGCTGTTTAAAAATGTATTCTTTTCACATACTTAGGACTCTGAAATATTGAAAAAAAAAAGAAAATGTGTACATCATACATATATTTACGACGTCATTACAAAATGTTTATCTCCGATCATGTCAAAATCTATCGATCATGATGACAGGTCACTGAATGTTTTGGTCTCCACGAGGGGTGCGCCACTGCTTCAAAACAGTGCATGGGAAAAATCAGTTAGGGTTTCTCCTCTTACTTCTACCTCCATGCTTTGGCCGCAGATAGCAACTTTGTGCACAGTACATTAAATTAATAGTTCACTTTTATTTTCAGTTTTTCAGCAGATAGAACTTATAAATATTGCCTTGGCCGTAGCCCATTCATTTTGCCCGCTAGTGTGATTGAAAAAAGATTGCATTTGAAGATGGAAGTAGTACAGCTAAAGAAAACCTCTCTTGAAATTAATTCCAAATGTCTTTTACTTTAGACATTTCAAGACCATTTTTTTCTTCCATGTCATCACTCATATATGATATTCAGTGTTAGATTTGATAATCCTAATCAAGTCGAGTTTTCTAATCAGAGAATAGCAAATAATACGACCTTGAAGTGCCTATTTTAATGTACCAGACTGTAGAGAGATCTCTGATCGCTGCATTGTGACTGCAGATCCTAGGATGAAGAATATGATGACATACCTCGAGACTGCTCGTGAATTTAGATTATTTTTCTCCCTAACGATGAAACTGCTGCCCTAGTTATGATATTCAGTTTCAGGTTTCCTAATCCTAATCATGTTGGGTTTTCTAATCACGGAGTAGCAAATAATACGACCTTGAAGTGCCTATTTTAAGGTACCAGACTATAGAGAGATCCCTGATCCCTGCATTGTGACTGCAGATCCTAGGATGAAGAATATGATGAAATACCTCGCGACTGCTCGTGAATTTAGATTATTTTCACCCATAACGATGAAATTGCTGCCTAGTTATGATATTCAGTTTCAGGTTTCCTAATCCTAATCAAGTTGGGTTTGCTAATCAGAGAGTAGCAAATAACTCCCTCATTAACAACAAAATAACTGCAATAATCAGTTCTGAATAATTATAACGAATGGATTTAAATCTTAAATGAAATAGAAGTAACTTACGCTCCTCCTTCTGCAGTACAGAGTCAGGATCACATATAGTTGAGGGTTTAATCCTATGGCATTCTGGAGGATTTTCTCTCGGATGAGGATAAACTTCCACATTCCAGCGATGAAACCCAGGCTCCTCCATGAAATCGTAGCCTTCAGAGTAATCTTCTTCATAATGATAGTCTGTAGGAATGTTAGGGGGAGGTATAAGATTCCTATCGGCATATCTTTGACAAGTTGTGAGATGAACGTGGAAGATAAACAAAGCAAGGAAGAGATAACAGATCATCTTCTGGCAGATAACTCTCTACATCATCCAAAAGACATCACGTATTTAATTTATTGTTTCCTGAAAATGTAAGGCAAAATCTATCATATTATTTTCGAAAACTCCACAAGGTGACAAATTATGATATTTTAGAAAGAAACAATTTTAACTTTTACAATAAAAACTGCTTTAGATATTTGTCGGATATAAGACATCTCCCGCCTCGAAACAAAAATCACTATAATTAGAAAGCCTCGAATACGTCCAACGTTGTAATTTCAATCAGAAGCAAGATTTATTATTTTTTTCCTTTGTCCATGTCCAATTTCAACCAAAAAAAATTCAGTTTTGAAAATTCTGGCGTTTGTTTAGCCGCCCAGACGGTATAGTGGTTAGGGAAGCCTGACTGCGATACCGATGGGCCTGGTTTCGAATCTCGGAGAAGACATGGTTTTAACTGTCCGTCCCTTCATAGGAGGCGACGATGTCTCACCTATTAGGTGCCTCCGTAATAAAGAGACCGCTACATCTGGCCTTGTATAGATTAATGGGCTGTGTTACATTGTAACTGTTCACAATCTGCCATTGAAAAAAAAAGAAAAAAAATCTGCCGTTTCTTTCCATATTTCCTTATGAATGTAAAGTTTTATAAATAGACTATCAAAATATTAAACATAAAACTAAACTTAGTGGCGCAACAGCCCTAGTGGGCCACGGACTGCAGTGCCCTATTTCTGCTTTCTTGACCTTTGGGCCCGGGAGTGCATCAGCATATGCCCTGGGCAAGTGGTCAGCTTGTCGCAGGACCCTCGGTGTTTAGTCCCCAATCGAACTTGGTACTCATTTTATTGACCCATTTAAGAGATGTAGGGCTGAGTCAACCTTCCCCAGCCCGGGGATCGAACTCCGAACCTGTGCTGCAGCTGCGCGATGCGCTAGCCACTTCGCCACCGGACGGTCTATTAAAAAAATATTACCTCTAAAAATTGCCATTTAAATAAGGTTAACAAAAAATAAGTGTATATAAATATGTGAAATAAAAAGAATTTAAATCAAAATTATAATTTAAATTAGCAATAACCCCTTAATTTTTCATTTTAATTTGGTACTTCCCCTCTCTGTTCTAAAAATAGCAATAACTTTACTGGACTGCGCCATTTCTAGATTAATTCTATCCCATGACATTTACCTAACCATGATAATGTAGCTAATTCGAAATTTAACTCAAAATTTCGAGAACTGGGGAGGGGAAACCGAGCTAACATTGGGCTATCACCTATATGGAGCTCAAGGGGGTCACATGGTGCCAATGACAAGCTCATTTGACTCCTTGCCACGATGAATGTTGTGGGCTTGTGCTGGTATTTGTCAGAATTACAACAACAAAGTTATTTGACTGTTACTGTTTAATTTACATTGCCAGGAGTAATGGTTCTTGTCTGTAGTCGTGCCTTTTATGTAAAAATGTCAAGATAAATATCAAATGTCAAGATAAATAATTAAATAAAAGTTTATTTAAAACTTTCACACTTTGTCATACTTTTCAGACATAGCGACAACTCTTTAACCTGTCTAGAAGTGTTTTTTGACTTCAATGCAGCTTCTTTATCAGTTGCATCCTTACAGTTGCTTACATCTAAATAAATGTATACAGTATAAAGTCCCAGATTCGAAAAGCCACCACCAACTTTTTTTTAAGGAATTTTTTTGAATGCTTTATGCATGTGCATTTGATTTTTTTTCGCATAATAAAACATGTGGAGATCATGTCCCGATTCTTAATTTCACTTCGGCACTAAATAAATTACCTCGTTACTGAAGGAACAATCATTTCAGCATAAAATTTGTGTGATCAATAATTTGGCTCCGTAGCTGCGTATCTGCTTGGCATACATCTCAAACTGAAACATTTTACATGGAAGCATCGTTGATTTTACACCAACTCATACTTAATATCCCTGAAGCCAACTGGCGAATCATTATTTAATATATTTTGTTTTCATCACCACGTGTTCATCAGCACATGACAACTTGAGTTCATGCAGCGATGCCTAAACAATTTTTTTAATGTTAGTAATTGAATAAGAGAGAGTATGGTAACCTTCTATGTAGACATTACGCTTGACAATGAATAAACATTTAAGTGTGGTAAGAAATGTTGATGAAAAATAATATAACACAAATTTCTTTCCATATGCTACAATGCGATTTTGTTAATGAGGCCGTAGCTCGTATGGCCGCACCGGGCAGCAGAATTTACGGAAGACACATTTTTTTTTAATTTAGAGAAGCGCCGAGCAATAAAATTAAGGGATGACAAAATTTTTAGAGTTTAGGGAAAGTACTGGAACTCAAAATTTAGGATTTGAAAGCGAGCAGTGGCAACAACTTTCGAAATAAAGCAGATTTTCATCTCCAGCTTGCGAGACTGTTGCCACTCGGAAAAATGAGGGAGAAAAAGATCGTTTTTCCGAGTTTTTAATGAATAGCTCCGGACTTTAATTACTCCTTTTTTTTCTTTTTTTTTCGAAAAAAAGTGGATGCTAATCTTTTCCAGGAACTAAAAAAGAATTGTAGAAAGTTTGGTGATGATAGCTATCGTAGTGACTGAGTTATTAGAGGACAACCAAACACATAGACTTTCTTCTTTACAGATAATGACTCTTCCTATATCCTATGGTACCGAACTGTATCAGCTGAAGACATTATCCAAACAGCTCTTCCCCTCTTCAAAACTATATCGCATATCTTAGAGCTTATTTAATGTAATACTTTAAAGAGCCTCATTATCTTTGTAACATAAACTAGATGAGAACTTTACAAAGACGTAAACGATTTATTGCAATATCTTGGAAATTGCAACAAAGACTGCAAAAGGTGTAAAACAAGGACTATACCACACTTTTCTCTAATTAATTTACATAATTATATAGCAGTTTAGCGGCGAGTCATGAGTGGTCCGCTATTAGGAAGATGCATACATACTTCTCCCATATTTTGAGAATCCAGGGATTCAGAAACATCCGTCGCTAAACGGTTTCCATCAATGCAGGTTCAACTGTACATTGAGCATTTAAAAAAATGGGACACTTCTATATCTTCCGTTCTGCTGGACCGATTATCGAAATTTAACTTGCGTTTTCCATGTCTCGAAAGCGCGACTTAGGATATGTATTAGATTTATATATAGCATTGTTCTACTATAGGTATTTTGACACAAAATGGGACGTTTTCTAAAATAGCATTCCAATTTTTTTTTTTTTCCCATATTTCGATTTTACGACTCAAATTATGCCAAGTTTGTAAAAATCGCACGAGTAGTTTTTAAAAAATTGGCTCTCAAAATTTGAGCTCTTATTAATATTTCTTTTAAACTTATTTGATTCTCCCTTTCACATTCCGAAATTTAGGTTCATTCTAAATAAAATTCACACATTTTTTATGATTTACTTAAAAATTTGTATTTTGAAATAATTTTTATATATTTTTTGAAAAACATTTTGAATTATAACCTATAAAAATTTTACCATCATCGTAAAGTAGATGTATTTCTAAGCACGCCTACAAAAAATTAGAGTTTTTTTATTCAAGATTTCCTAAGATATATGAATTTACATTTTAGCGCGTTTTGAAGTTTGACATATACGTTATAAGCGATAATAACACCAAATGTGTTTTACAAACTTTGTTAAAATTACTTAAAAGAGTGCATGATGCAGCATTTTTTCCTACTCGTGCGCAGATAGAAAAGGGAAAGGAGAATAGATTTTAATTTTTATAAATTAAGAATTCCACCAAGTAAATTATTTTTGGCGCAACCGAAAAAGTGTCGTAGAATCGAAACGTGGGAAAAAATCGGTATGTTATTTCAGAAAAATTCCGATTTTTTGTCAAAATACCTATGTTAGAATAATGTTGTATATAAATCAAAAATATATCCTAATTCGCGGTTTGGAGACAAGAAAAACGCAAGTTAAATTTTGACAATCCGTACAGTAAAACGAGAGATACAGAACTGCCCTCCCCTTTTTTTGCGCAAGGTGTATCAAAGTGCATCACGCACAAACAATTTCCTTTAAATTCGAATAAAAGGTACAGAATATCATGTACGATAAGCATTATCAACATTTCACTAAAAGAGAAAGAAACAAAATAAGCTTTAAATCACAATCATCCTACCCAAAAGGGAAACGTAATACCATAAATTTAGAGCGCTGTATCTGATACTGGTCCCAAATAATTATATACAACCCTTCCGTAAGGATCACAGATATAATCTGATAGTAAATATCACAGGTTTATGCTGTTTCTGAAAATTACACAGGAAATGCGAGCACTTATCTTAAAAATATTACATGTTTCCAAAGAAAGATAAGATTAGACATAGCTTTATGCTTAATCACAAGGAGAGAAGAGGAGAAAATACCTACGTATGGTATCTATTCAATACAAACGCAGATTTAACTGGAAAATTCACTAGTTAAAAAAAAAAAAATGTTTTTGGGGGGTAGGAGCATCGCTTCACTTTAGTTTCTTGAGATTAACAGCAAATGAAATTTAAATATTGCAATTTTCAAAGTCTGCGAACGGTCCTTGGATTTATATAATTATATAATTTTCCTTTTTGCTAACTTGTAATTTATTAGTGCTTGCTTGTTATAAAGAAATGGTACTGCAAGAATTAGACCAGAAAAAACTTGAATACATAAAAAAATCTGAAAGTTTTCAGATTTGATATTACGCCCAAAGGGGCATTTTTTTAACGTTTTGTGCTTTACTTTTATTTATTAAATTTCATGTTCTTTGCATTTAAACCATAAAATTCGGTGTCCGCCGAAAACATCGCGGACGAAAACGTCGCGGAGAAAACAACGCAAGGCGAAAACATCGTGGTACAAAACATCGTGGGAGTAAATAAAAGCAAAGAGAAAACGTCGCAGTTCTAAAACATCGTCGTCGAAAATAAAGCGGTTCAAAAACTTTGCCATTTAAAAACATCGTCGACGAAAATATCGTGGTATAAAATAAAGTACCTACAAATCATCGCATGACAATAACATCGCTCGTCTCGCAGTGTGTTA